CCCTCCACTACGGCGTCTCTCATAATCAAATGGTGGTTTTGGGACGTTAAACCCTACAAATCAATCAAATCAATCAATCAAGCGTCCCACAAGATGAATTACTAAAACAATCTGTCAGGGTAAGACACGTACTATATTGTGGGCGCTGTGCGCCGATTTGCGCGTGGAGTGTGCCAGCCAGCGCATTTTAGAACGATAACCTTATGCTGCAATAACCATTGGGATTGTTGAGTTTTAACATTCCTAAACGAACTATGAAAGATACTGTAGTAGAGGCACCCGAAAATTTGACCACCCGGGGTTCTTTAAAGGGCACCTCATTTAGGCAAGCGGGACTCAAGCATTCGTACCTTCGTTAAAATTGCGACCACAGCAGCTGTATTTCATACTTTGAGTCATATGTGACAAGACACGGCGTTACTTCTCGTACTGTGTTCGCAGCCGCATTCCGGTGGACGCCATATGATAAAATCTTATGTGCTCAGATATAAGATGACGTTAACCCCATGTCATCGAACTATCAGGCCCTCTATCTGTCACATTCTTATCGCGTGTTTTGGACGCAAAAGCACCAACATTATTACCAGCTTGTCATGCAGTAAGTAGTAGAAAAAAGCTCAAAAACCACGGGGATGACCCGTCACACTACGCTAACAAGTTAAGTAACCTGAAAACTCAACATGGCGAAGTACTCGCAATGTTGACTTTCAAGTCAATAAATGTATGTCAATCCTTCCAAGATCTGCCACTGCCCAATCTTTTGGCACGGCAAAAAAGAAAATGACCGATTCCACGCACCTTGGGAATCAATGTTGTGCGAAGCATACCGAGGGAAGGTGACCGGGTTGTAATTTTTTTTACTGAGCAATATAGGTGATGAAAGAACATAAATATATGTATAAATGTTGCATGCACAGACATATGTTGACGAATTGCAGATATTTATCTAACCACTTGTTTGCATTGCACAGGAACATGAGTACTAGCAATACTAGAAGCGGTAAGATTATATGAAGCGCTGGTGCTCGCGAGGGTAGTAGCACTGGACACTGCTACGTAAATCAACTTCATCGCACGGCGCCCAACTACAATTGACGATAACATAACATTATGGTTATATAAAAAGGCTGGATCAAAAGTATATTATAGGGAGCAATATGAGCTCCAACAAGTGAGCGCGTCGCAAGTAGCATGAAAACCAAGACGACGTGACATATGCATGGCGCTGCGGAAGTCGTACGGGAAAGCTGGGGTGCCCTTCAACTGTATGTTGGCACTGCCGCTTCACTAGCGTTGCGGAAAAACGGCAGATGATTTCGTGTAATCTGCTGCTAGCAACGATAACACGCAGAAAAAAATGCACATAAAACTAAGTAAGCGAAAGACGTGAACCGAATTTAGAGAAGCCTTCATGTGAGTGCGTCTGCGTGTTTTATGGTGGTGGCAACTTCAACCAACTACCAACTTCAACCAACTACAACTGGCTAAAACGGCCGTCATAGGTTACGGGCCGCCATGTTGGTTCACAGCGGTCACTCATTAACAGTACATCGAAGGCAACGTGGCTTTCAACGAGATGGGGATGATTTTTTTTTTTTGTATAGCAAGTTCTGCAAGCTGAAGGGTTATTTCTGAAGTCATCCACCGTTTTGTAGAACAAGAAAAACATGTTCTTAGGTCGATTTTGTATAACATACTGTTGAAATAGATCGTTTCTACCACCTGGTAGACTCACGGCATTAACGGAGTGAGGATATTTAGGGAGCTTATGTTTGCAAGGGGGTGAACCTCGATGTCACTGTGAACAGACTTCAATGTCTGCATGGCCTTCCTGAAGGAAAATCAACTTATCACTGCAGACACCTCAAAGGACTTCTAGTGCAAAGCTCAAGACCATGCTTTATTACATGACGGCAACCATAACGACAGGGAGGACAGATCAAACAAATGGTTATCTAGTGATGTTCTCTCTAAACCGCATAACTCCGCTAGCCTATATAGTTCTCATACACTTAATATTGCTTTTATTCATAATTATATTTCCGGTAGCATGTTTACTTCCTGTGAACGAATCTGTACAATAGACTGCTTAAAAACCTTACAAGCTGTGAGTACTTGCCAGAAAATAGTAGGGCACTCCATTATATTACACCAACCCCCCCCCCCCCCCTCCAAGCCACTATACTAGGCTAGAAGGTAAGCACAGAGGAGCAACAAGGGACAAACCAAGTTTTTCTAGGTAAGATTTTATTGCAAACGGCATCCAAATAGCATCTGGTCTTAATTTCTTCAAAGCGTCCTGCCTCTCTTGCTGGAAGCTTGTGTCCTCGCAGAGGGCCTACAACAACGCAATACGGCGAAAAGTCATACGCGGCGCCGACCGAATATACAGAGTCCATACACACTCTCTCTATAAGCAGTAAATAAAATACCAGATCACGATATTAAATAATCTCTCAGGCTGGTTATAAAGCAAACGGACGACAAAAATAACGACGCAGCACCAATCTCCCATACGGCATATTTGAGTTATGGGCCAACAACCGACTTGCTTAGTGCCCATATACTACATCATTCAGGAGCAACAGGCATACAGAAGGGCGGACGCACACGACTAGTAAATCGGTCCCTTCTATATTATTGAAGCGAAGTCGTTTTTGCCAATCTTGAGTAAATTTCCGTGTGGTTCCGCTTGTCATTGAAGGGAATAACGCATGCCCCATGGCAAGCGGCGCTAAATTTAGTTGTGTTGCAGCTGTGCCTTGGAAAGGGGCTCGATCACACGGCGCTGCCCTTTCAGGGGCGACGCTCCTTTAAAGCGGCACCCGTTCGTTCCTCGTCGTAGTACGTACCATGTACTTACGCTTTGACCAGCACGGTGGTGCCGGTGGGAGATTTCTCCTGTGTGCTGTTGAACAATAAAAATTCGCAGCGTGCGCGTTAACCGAAAGTCGAATTCTCCTGTCTGTCTTTCACCATTAGCAGCCATTGGCATGTGCATCGAGCACTATCTGAAAGGAAAAGGTTTTCTACGTTATACTCGCAGGGCGTAACCTCCTTGGTTTTAGAAAGGTTTAGTGAGCGTTGGGCCGCGGTGCCATGAATACAGTGAACTAGTATACACCATGAACTCGAGGTTGTTAAAGGTGGGAAGTAGACACGAAGCGCAAGCCGTAAGAAAGTGTGCGTGTGCCACCTCTCGTATAGTCCTCGAAATGTCCGCTGGAAGGCGGTGCTTCTATATGTGAAATATATGATGAAAAGATGCGAGATGATGGTACTAGGAGTGTTCACTAGACGAACTAACGGATACACAGATAGATGCATGGACGGACACACGGATGGCTGCACGGACGCATGGATGCACGAACGGACGCAGGGGTGGAATACGTGGACGAACGCAGGGACGGAAGCACGGATGGACGTGCGGACGCACGAACAGACGCATGCACGGACGGGTGGATGGACGCACGGATGGTCACACAGACAGATGCATGGACACACGAAAGCAAGAACGATTGGACGGGCATATTTTTAATTAGTGGCTCCACTTATCTTTCCTTGCTCGGCATCACAAGGCTATTTGCTAAGGTTCAGTCCTCTGTCCAAACATTGTAGATGCCGTCGGGAAGAGGCATGTCTCTGAGGGTCGAGACACCATCGAATTTAGCCCTTGTAACCTTATAGGTTCGAAAGCACGAAGTTCAGCTAAAGTTTGCATCCACATAAAATGTGCCATTCGCGTTAGAGTGACCAATTTTGTTATTGTTGTAGTCACGTGTGTTTTGCCTGCCAAGATACAAATGTGTTCGCATTCCTAAATATAGAATAGTTGTAATTCAGCGCACCGTTCTGTCTCTTCCTTTACTTTTCTGTTGTTTTTCGAGCTGTTTCTTAATATATATGACTAAGCATAGAAAAATCTCAGCTCGGCTTAAGCAGGGTAATTTACAGGGCGATTTCATTAGCTTAGGTGTGCGTAGCAAATTAGGTTTTATAATGCTAGAAATTTCTTTATAAGGCTCGTCAATGGATACATTGGTTTAGATAGGCACAGCTGTTCTTAATTTTGCGTGACGCCGCCACCCTGCAAGCATGAGCACGGTTTCTTCTCTACGTCGCAAACCATACAAACTGCGGGCACAACACCATTGCTGTAAGGAAAAAAAGAAAGAAGAAGAGCGTACATTTTTTAGAACTCGATTGCTACGCAAGCTGAAAGGAAAGAGAAGAGAGACAGGGCAGAGCCCAGTTTTCAAGTATGAACCAACTAGTCTGCAAAGAAGTATTGCTTCAAGGAATACGTTTGACTGCCTTTTCAAAAACTCTGGTTCAGTAGGGCAGCATTTTATTTTTTGCTTTCTGATGCATAGAACGACATTCTTGTAAAATTGGAGAACGACTAGCCTCTGCACAGTTACAACCCGCCAGTCTTAGCTCTGTCCCCGTTGACAACGAACGGCGGCGAACAAGCCAAGTCTTCACCTTTTTTGTGTGTGCGTGTCTTTTCTTTTTTGCCGCAACGCAATTCCAGATATCACGCGAGATCAAAAAAAAAGATAAAAGTCTTGCAGCACGTGGTGGAAGGCACGCAAACTAAACGCCGATGACCACGAAAGATGAATATGCATGTTACCTTGGTGAAACCCAATTACGTGATTGTCAGGGCCTCAAGCTTATATATGACTTAGAGCACAAGTTGTTCCATAGTAATTGATAAGTGTGCCAACTATTTCCACTGGGTAAATTTAACATTTTTTATACTGCAGAGAAACTGTGGATTCAGGCCGCTTATTGTCGTGTTAGTGTGTTATTGGAAAAAAGTTAAATGAGCCAGCTTTATCTGAATGTCGGACAGTGTTAGATCTTTACATTCCCCTTGCTTTTAATTATTCATTGCACAGGTCTTACCACTCCGGTTCCTTCAGTTGCTCTTTTACGTTGTGAGTTATGCCTGTGCTGGACTGCTGATGAACACCAGTGTTCCTTCCGTTCCGCAGGTGGTGAGGGCAGCTTGGTGTCAGCAGCAGGCTCGGCCCTGGGTCTGGGCACCGACATTGGCGGTTCCATCCGGATGCCCGCCTTTTTCAATGGCCTGTTTGGCCATAAGGCGTCTCCAGGCCTGACGGGGCTTGGGGGGCAGTTCCCTCAGGTGCGCGGTCATCACAGGGCTTTCGCGTCCTCCGGTCCACTCTGCCGATACGCTCAAGACCTGGCGCCCACGCTGGTCGCGCTGGTCGGATCGCAGCAGGCGCGCCACAGGCTGCGCTTACACGAGCCGGTAAACCTCCTCGACGAAGAAAAGATCGAACGAAAAGAGAGTTGCTTGCATTTTTCAGTCATTTGCATCGCTGCTAAGTGGAGAATATTGAGTTCGTAATTGTTCTTCCGACTCTTCAGATAAAGCTATCGGTATTGCTTCCTAAGTCTTGTGCTCCCCTGGTCCTCTCTCGAGAACTACTGCCATAGCAAAGAATACTGTTGGGTGAGTTCGTATTCTGTTATGAAGCAAACTGTGCGAAATAATCGAGCCAAATGGGAAAAGGCAGCACATGCACAAGTTCTTAGCCTTCGCTAAGGCTGTTGTTCTTTTCTTCCTTCGTCCACGTATTTCGCCCAGTTTACTTCAGAGTGTGATAGCAATCAGGGAAGGTTGAACGATTGATACCGCTTGTAAAATCTTCCGCTGAGTAAGAAAAAAAAACCTGCGGTTGTTTGAATACGTCCATTTCCCATATACTTTAATCGACTTAAGTAGCATTCTTCAGTTTTATATTGATTCAGTGCATGAAATGACTTTGCTGATGCGTCGAATCAGATGTCTAATTACAGCCGCATCGGATGGTTCATGTAGTCCTGAATCATTCGTACAGAACTTCTACAAATCTTTTTGCCTCACAGCATCGTGACCACCGTAAACTCCTCAGAGAGCACTTCTACAAAGCCTTTAACGCACCTTATAGGCGGACATCTGAAGCATTTTAGCAGAATTATGTACACGGGGTTTCTGTTATTCGCAATGTCTGGTGATTATGGAAGCTGCCTCGAAACTGTATCCCGAAGGACCTTAGTTCTTAGCAGAAACAGTAGGGCAAAAAGCAGTACATTTATCGATAATGAAAGCGCAAAAAATAGGGATATGAAAGGAATAGAACTGGACTGCGTATCAATCGTTGGAACAAAGCGGGAAAGCGGTGGTGCTGTCAAAACTACGTCGTGAAGAAATAGGCGGTTGTTCGGCTTTGAAAACGTTGCTTATTGAACATAAAGCACTTGAAACACTTTGCAACCTTCCAAGCACCCCGTAGCAATAATAGCACGTGCAAGACCGAAATAATATACGGCAGAGCAAAGTACGAGACACACACACACACGCACACACACACACACACACAAAAAACAGCTGATCCCTCTTTATATGAAATGGCATAACACGAAAGTGAAACGCGTCTTCATAGGTGTAGTTGAGCGTTTATTGTGAATTGTTCCACCACAAGGGTGAAAAACATCGATGCTACAGCAACGAATAGCGATGCCACGCGAGGAACATTGAGCAGTTTGCAACTTGCAGTGTGCACACCAAGCAGAAAGCATGCGCGAAATGAGCAATAACAGGACGAGCGCAGGCTCACAAGTGTCAAAGCTCGATACTTAATGCATGCATTTGTAACAAAAAGACGCATGAAAATAACACAGAAGTATACCAGAGAGAAACACTAACAGCTGCCACAATTCTTACTTTTTGGTTTGCCAGCAGCGTGCTCTTTTGGTAAACACCGCCACGCCACGGCAGCAAGTGCTCTCCTGAATCACGAATATTATGTGCGCGCGCGCAGGAGATACCCCGCTCCGTCGAGGCAGCGCTGATCTAAACGCGAGGGGACGAGCTTTAGATTTCGCAAAACACAAGCCTGTCGCCCCATCTCACTACTGTTGACAAAATCCCGCTAACGTTGCGGAGCTCTGAGGACCGCCAAACGTTGCATGGCGTGTCTAAATAAATTACCCTTTGCAGTTTTGGTGACGGGCGGTTCATGCACTAGTGGCCGCCGCCGCCCACTGCATATGGTTAAGTAGCTGACTCCAGGCCCCTCAACGGACCTTTATTTCTCGTTTTTTGCAGTCTTTTAGTAATATTTTACGTCGTCATAACCGTGAAGAAAATACGTCCACGAAGCCGTGGGGGACCCCGGCATAAAACACTTCAGTGTTAAAAAAAGCTAAACTAACCGTGTATGAGGCACTGTACTTCTTCAAACAGTCAAACGCGCCTATAATAATACTGGCTTTAATAGTATACCACTTATAGAAACGAGAAAATGCTGCACTGTCGACTTTTTAATGTTTTCCATAATTAACCCGTCTTTTACAATGCCAAGATGTCACTTTATTCATTATAACAATGCAATCTGGCAGCTGTGTTCATGCCACAAGTTATCAAACGTGAATTTTGTTGAATAAAAAAACAAGAACTTCAAGCTGCTCAACCACCGCCCACTTCCCCAACATCAAGTGCACGCCCTATTCGATTTGCGGTACGGTTCACCTCATGTTGCTACGCGCTGCCGCAAAGCCAATTTTTAGAATTCGTTAACCTAATCTGCAGGACTTTCTGTTAATGCTGTTTCATATGGGTAAATGAGCGAAAATTGAGATTTCAAAGTGTTTCAGCATGTGGAACTTGCCACTTTTCCATACAATGGCTCTGTAAGACTTGTGCCAGTGTCTTGAAAGATTCGAAATATCGGCACCTTAATTATCCTTACGAATAATTCCTGTTGGGATATCCAATATGACCGCCGCCGCCGGCGTCACGCACCGAATATGTATGCGTAGCTATACATAGGAAATCTCAAGAAAAAAAAAAATTGGCCCAGTATCTGCATGTTACACCGCAAATGTCGTCTAAAGACGATAGTCTTGCGTCTGAAGAGAGTAAACAAAACGTTTATTTGATGTTCTGCGCAACAAAATCGGTTAATAGTAATCTGGAGGCGCTGCGTTAGAGTGCCTCGAGCATGAAGTGGAGGCGAATGAGGGGATCAAGTCACAAGTGAAACATGAGCGCTATCTGGCAGTTATCCTGGAAAACGAGGCGCACGCCGTGTGCGCCCGTCTCTGAGGTGATAAGGTGTAGAACGCGAAGCAACGGGTAGGTGCCGCCACCGCGTCGTCTTGGCAAAACGTTGGAAACACTTGCCGTTTCATGCAAGCGTTGGATCGTCAGCACAGCGTGATAAAGGCTACAATCCTTAAAATTACTTATCTATGCCTTTTCTAGTAAAAACTACACATACATGATATTGACGTGCTCTTATAGTGCCTCAGATATGCACGATAATTGCTTTTTAACTGACAATCGCACAAGTAGGAACGCTGAACCTTGAGCAATATTGGTTGCCACTGCGGATGGAATCGGCCGTTTAAAGTATCGTATGGTCCCTTTGGTGCCCTTTAGAATGCCGTTAAGGGTAGACGAACAGACAAAAGTACAGACAGCCAGATCAAAAGTTCTGTGTCGAAGGTCCCTAAGAAAGAATATTGTCTTTAAAATAGCCGCCATGCTCGACACCTAGCCCGTCGCGATGCGCCAAAGCGATTATCTCCCACGCGTACTTATCTCCCCCTCGGAAGAAGGTGAGGGCTAGGTGCTCGTGCGCGTGCGCTTATCCTTCAGTCGGGAAAATCGTGTGCTTTGTCCTTTCACCGGAACGATTGCGTTAGTTTCCTCGGTCACAACAATGCGAGCGATGTGATGGTGCTTTTCAAACACTGTGAAGTAACAACTGGGACACTCGTTCGCACTCATATCCGTACCTGTGTTCTAATTTAGTGCGTCGTTTTTGCTTAAAGAGCGCGTCAGGCGTCGAGCTGTAAACGTTGGTACTTAGCTCTTGTCCTGGGTGTGTTGTTTTCGTACGTCATTTGTGCGTGAGCAGCGCGTTTAATGTTGTTATTGTTGAAGTTGTTGCTTTTCCACTCATTGCTTCGCCCTTCCGGCGAAACTGCGGCTTTTTTCTTGTAAATCACGCATTTGACAAATTTCAGCCATTGAAAAAATTTATTTTGGGGCTTGAGGACATTTCAATTTGCTGGTTATGTTATAGTGAAATTTGTATTTTCTAATGTCAATTTAGCACTACCGCGGTTACATCCAGCGCGAGCAGCACCTCGTCAGGAGGCAAAACACCTCCTTTTGTCCTGGCTGCGGGTAATGCAATTGTATTGTAAAAAAACTAATATTATAAACCTATTCGGTCTACTAAAAGGCTTTGATTTCCAAGTGCGGCGCTCATGGACTTGTGGTGACACCAGTGCCTTTCTCCTCCTGCAGGTGGACCTCAAAAGCATTCGCGTGCACTACCTGACCGAAATAGACAGGTGCTTCACCTTATCGGCTGTTCATCCAGACGTAAAAGTGGCTGTGACGGATGTGAGTATTCCAGCATTCGCAACAATTATGCCGAGTATACGGCAGAAGAGACCGCCCCTTAAGGCCTTATATTCATTTGTAATCGGTAAATACCGTCTGTAGGGTCATCCACAGAAGGGTGCTGATTCGGTCGGTTCTTATGGTTAATACACTTCTCGTAACTCCCACCGTTTCGAAATGCTGTTCCCAGGTTTTTAATGTGGGCAGTTGTATGATTCACGGTAATTTAAAAAATGAAGGTCGAAGGCTATGCAGTTCATTCTAAAGAAGTGTAACGACGCGCGGCAATTTCAACACGCTCCTTGTTGTGGCACATACGTGAGGCCAGGCTATCGCGTGCGTTGCGCATCTGTTACACATAGCGAAACAAGATTGTCTGCCGCGGTAGATTAGCACGTAAATGGAGTGACGCATTCTACTGGGCATCATTTTCATTGCGATTGATAGAAGGCGAGAAGGCGAAATTCTAAAAACACCCGTTTGTGTATACTTGGGCGCACGTTCATGAAACCTAAGCTGTCAAAACCAATCCAGGGTGCCTCATTACAGAGTGCATTTCAAGCATATTGTGTTTTGGGCACATGAGACTTGCGTGCATTCAGTTTATTTCAGCACAAGGGAAAATGAAAACGACATTTTTATTGCTGGAGAGCGACTAATAATGATTGGGACATACAAACCTTCCTAAATTGATTTACGTTCAGGAACTGTCCAGACCTCTGAAACAATAGTGGATGAGAACAGCAAGCGAAACACAAAGCAGTCGCTAAAGTTGTGCATTTTGACACTGAAATTGCACATTTGACCACCTACGCCCCTAATACGTGTCATCGGCTGAGTACAGACGATTAATATAGAATTGGGATCAGTCCCTGCTAGGCTACATATAAATGTTTCAAATTGCACGCTATAGTTTTTGCTTACAAAACACCACCTTTCGGCCTCTCATCTGTGCGCAGCGTATTGTGGCATTTCTCACCATGAACGCTTGTGACATCGAGTGATATTACTGAATTGTGGGACATACCTAATCACAAGAAGGAACAAATTTGGCGTCAAAGATTTTACAGATGAGCGACACAGAACTGGTGTAACATACGAAATGATTCATTCAATTTTGCGTCAGAGAGGTTCGTAAAGAGAAAGGCACATAGCCAGTGTCGCATACTAAGAATATCATTCCCCGAGTGCACCAAAACAGTGCTGAAACCAGTGTACCATTAGCTTCATGCGTACTAATGGCTGTTTTAATGTGCGTCAATCATTACCACTGAAACATGGTGTAGTGAAATGCTTGATCACATTGATAAGAACATGACCATAATATTGTCCCGACGTCGAAACAGAGGTCTTGCGGCAGAAACTGAGACACCAGAAGCAGGTAGGTTCTTTTATTAGAACGCGCAAGAGAGTTCTTCTTTTTCATCCATTTCATAGTACTTCATGGCACATGCACAACTGTCATTGTCTTTCTTTTTGACAAGCACGTGACATTTGCCTCCCTCCGAAAGAGGCATCGTCCCGATACGCAACCTAGGCGCTCTACCAGGCGTATGAAGTGGTCGCGTTAACTGGATAAATACGGTTTCATACGCACGACGTGTACGACTTCGGGTAAATGATTTTGACGCCTAGAACTACAGTCAGTGTCAGGAACAACTTCATAGTTCACGTCGTTCAAGCGTCGCGTGACGCTGTATGGGCCAAAGTATCGTCTTAGCAGTTTTTCCGACAGTCCACGTCGACGTATCGGAATCCAGACCCAGACCTTGTCGCCTGGTGTGTAGCTTATGAACTTGTGTCGGGGGTCGTACCGTTGTGCATCTTGATGCTGTTGATGACAGATGCGCACACGCGCGAGCTGTCTGGCTTCCTCGGCGCGCTGAGTGAACTCTTCGGCGTCCACATGGATGTCGTCACACTCATGCGGCAACATGGCGTCCAACGTTGTCGTGACTTCGCGACCATAGATCAGACTGAACGGCGTCATTCCAGTGGTTTCTTGTCGAGCGGTATTATAGGCAAAGGTCACGTACGGCAATATCTGATCCCAGTTTTTATGCTCTGTGTCAACGTACATGCTGATCATGTCTGTGAGGGTCCTATTGAGGCGCTCTGTCAGTCCGTTTGTCTGCGGATGGTAAGCCGTTGTTTTCCGGTGAGCTGTACCGCTGAGTCTGAGAACTGACTCCAAAAGTTCTGCGGTGAAGGCAGGTCCTCTGTCTGTAATCACTGCTGTCGGAGCGCCATGCCGAAGGACGATGTTTTCGATGAAGAACTGAGCGGCCTCTGCTGCTGTGCCGCGCTGCATAGCTTTAGTCTCCGCATAACGGGAGAGGTAATCGGTGGCCACGATTATCCATCTGTTACCTGTTGTGGAAGTTAGAAAGGGGCCCAGGAAATCCATTCCAATCAGAGTGAACGGCTTCGCTGGTGCTAGGACTGGATGTAAGAGACCGGCTGTCTTGCTGGGAGGTGCTTTGCGTCTTTGGCAGTCGGTGCAAGTTCGCACGTGATGGTTAACATCAGCGGGTAACTTTGGCCAGTAGTACTTGCATCGCAGTTGGCACAATGTTCGGGTGTAGCCTAGATGACCAGAAGTTGCTTCATCATGGCACGCTTCCATAATTTCCTTTCGAAGAGAGGCAGGCACGACGAGCAAGTGCGGGTTGCCGGTTGGTGAGAAGTTTCTCTTATAGAGAACATCATTTCTCAAGCAAAAAGATGGCAGTCCTCTGGCAAATAACCGCGGCACGTCCTTACGTCGTCCTTCTAAATATTCAATGAGTGGTAACAGCTCAGGGTCACTGCGCTGCTCTCGTGCAATAGTGGCCGTGTCGACAACTCCCAAGAATGCCGCGTCGATGTTTTCGTCGTCAGGAGCAGCAGTTTCCACTGGCGACCGTGAGAGACAGTCGGCGTCAGTGTGTCGCTTCCCAGATTTGTAGACGATGGTCATGTCGAACTCTTGCAGTCTTAGGCTCCAGCGTGCCAAACGGCCAGATGAATCTTTAAGGTTGGTGAGCCAGCACAAAGAGTGATGTTCGCTAACGACCTTGAAGGAGCGGCCATACAAATATGGACGAAATTTGATGACCGCCCACACCACGGCGAGACACTCCTTCTCGGTAGTCGAGTAGTTCTCCTCCGTGCGAGAGAGAGTTCTGCTGGCGTAGGCTATTACTCTTTCACAGCCGTCTTGCCACTGCACCAGAACGGCACCCAGACCTACATTGCTGGCGTCAGTGTGAAGTGCTGTAGGGGCTTCCTGGTCGAAGTGCGCGAGGACTGGAGGTGTTTGCAGGCGTTGTCGTAGTTCATTGAACGCCATTTGCTGTTGTTCACCCCAAAAGAAGGGGACGTCCTCGCGTGTGAGTCGTGTCAATGGCGCCGCAATAGACGAAAAGTCCTCAATAAATCGCCGGTAATAGGCACACAACCCTAAAAAGCGTCTCACGGCCTTTTTGTCGCATGGTGCAGGAAATTGCGCTACGGCGTCTATTTTGGCCGGGTCAGGTCGAACACCCTCGTGACTGACGACGTGGCCTAGGAAGTTGAGTTCGTTAAAACCAAAATGACATTTTTCCGGTTTTAAAGTAAGGCCGGCCGAACGTATGGCTTGGAGGACGGTGAATAAACGGCTGAGATGTTCCTCGAATGTTGCTGAGAATACAATAACATCGTCGAGATAGACCAAGCATGTTTGCCACTTCAGGCCTGATAGTACGGTGTCCATGAGACGTTGAAAAGTGGCTGGCGCCGAGCACAACCCAAAAGGAAGCACCTTAAATTCGTAGAGGCCGTCGGGCGTCACGAAGGCCGTTTTTTCACGATCTCTCTCGTCGACTTCTATCTGCCAGTAGCCGCTTCGGAGGTCCATTGAAGAGAATAGCGCGCATGACGCAGCCGATCGAGTGAATCGTCTATGCGGGGCAGTGGATAGACGTCTTTCTTTGTGACTTGGTTCAACTTGCGATAATCAATACAGAAGCGCAAGCTGCCGTCTTTTTTCTTGACCAAAAACACGGGGGACGCCCAAGGACTTTTCGAAGGTTGTATGACGTCATCCGCGAGCATCTTGTGTACTTGCTTCTGAATCTCCTCGCGCTCTTTCGGAGACACACGGTAGGGGTTTTTGCCGAATTGGTCGCGTGTTGTCTTCAGTAATGATGCGGTGCTTGGTCAATGGTGTTTGCTGTACCTTTGACGTACGCGAAAAGCAGTCTTCGAATTGGTGTATAAGTTCAAGCAGGCGCTTCCTATCAGAGGTCGGTAGCGTAGAGCAGATGTCCACCGACAAAGTTGTCGAGGCGGGGACAGCCGCGTCATCTGGTTGCAAGGTAAAACAATCCCCGGCTTGGTCTACATCGTCGTAGTAGGCAATTGCGGTACCCTTCTGGATTTGACGGCGCTCGTTGCTGAAGTTTGTGAGCAGCAATTCCGCCTGTCCACCAGTAAGTGCCAGGACGCCCCTCGCGATGGAAATGCCTTGCGTGAGCAAAAGAGTGACTATGTGCTCCGCTATCACATCTTTATAGCAAGGACACCCACTGGACACCGACACAAGGCAGCAGGATCTCGGTGGGAGTGTCACATCGTCAGCTATTCGCAAACGGCCGCGTGGTTCTTCACTGCTGTTGTCGGCATAAGGATGAGCGCAAAACGTCACCATACGTTGAGGAATGTTGATAACAGCGCCATGATCTTGAAGAAAATCCATGCCCAAAATTAACTCTTTACAGCAGTCTGGCAACAGGACGAAAGTGGCCACGAAGCTAGAATCTCCGATGCGAAGTCTACTGGTGCATTTACCCGTGGGTGTCATCAGCTGACCACCAGCACTCCTTATGTGCGGCCCTGTCCACGGTGTCTTGACCTTCCTGAGGCGGTCGGCGAGCTCTTGTCGCATGATTGAGAAGTCGGCGCCAGTGTCGACCAGTGCTGTAACGTGATGTCCGTCAATGAGAACGCTCAGATCGGCACGTACAACTTCTTCAGCATTATTATTCGTCGTCGTATTCATCGTCGTTGTCGTCATACCTTCTTGCGATGATTGGGGGAACTTTTCAGTGTGTCGACGATTGGCAACCTTGCCCCCCGAGGTCGCATCAGTTAGTTTCCCCGGCGCGGGCTAGGCGAACGGCCTCTGGTGATGTCCGCGTAGCTCTGAGGGAAGTCACGGTGACGCGCAGGTGATGGAGAGCGCCAGCGACGCGGTGGGGTTGCTTGAGCAGGCGATAGTTGATCGGCATCGTGGGCACGACGGTCTTCGGAGCGGAAAGAAGCGGGACAAGAAAAGTTCCCGAACCCAGAATCGCCGTGACGGCAATAGCGGGCAATGTGACCGGGTTCTCCGCAGCGGTAGCAAATAGGTCGACGGTCGGCCATGCGCCACAAGTCAGTTCGGCGAACTGGTGGTCGTCTCGTAGAATCTCGTTGCCACCAAGGTACGGCAGTGGGTTGTGGCTGGAAGGGCGTCGCCACAAATGTCGGTGGAGGACGACGGACTACATCAGCGTAGCTCGCTGGATGTGGCTCAGGATTTGGCGCGGGTGGTGTAATGGCTTGCCTCAACTCCTGGCGGACGATTTCGGCAACAGATGCGACTGGCGGTTGGGCAGGGGGAACGCAGAGGGCCCGAAGTTCCTCACGCAGTATTTCTCTGATCATTTGCCGCAGGGAACTTTCGCATACGGCAGTGTTCTGAGCTGCAGCACTTACTGCCGTGTGGTTCTGCAGGCGGTCAAGTGTCGGCGTCGTTGTTGCAGCGCGCGCTCGATGACTGTCGCCTCTCTTACGAATTCATCTACAGTTGTAGGTGGATTTCTTACGAGGCCCGCAAACACTTGTTCCTTAACACCCTGCATCAGGTGACGCACCTTCTTCGCCTCGGGCATGTCAGGGTCAGCTCGTCGAAACAGACGGATCATACCCCCTGCGTACATGGCGGCTGTTTCATTAGGTTTTTGCACGCGTGCCTCAATCACTTGCTGTGCGCGATCCCGTCGGTCCGAGTTCAAAAATGTAGCGAGGAGCTTTCGACGGAAGTCTTCCCAAGATTGGAATGTAGCCTCGCGGTTCTCATACCACGTGCGAGCGCTATCTTCCAGTGCGAAATATGCACGGCCAAGTTTGTGCTGTTCGCTCCAGTTGTTGGATACAGCGACCCGTTCGAACTGTTCGAGCCAGTCTTCGACATCCTCGTACTCTTCCCCACGGAAAACTTCAAGAACGCGAGGATGTTCAAGAGTTACCTGCGAGGGAAGAGTGGTCTGCGATGGCGGGATAACCGTGGATGTCGTAGGAGCTGCCATGCTGGAAAGAGGCGGAACAGGTGCGGACTCTGGACTTAGGCCTAGTAGGCGCCGACTGAATCGGTGCACTGGAGTCGTGACGAGGGGCTGAGTCTCTGGACTAGGTGAACGGGTCCGAGTAAGAATGTCCTGCATCAGGGTGTAGGCTCCAGCACCTCCACCAGTGTCCCGACGTCGAAACAGAGGTCTTGCGGCAGAAACTGAGCCACCAGAAGCAGGTAGGTTCTTTTAATAGAACGCGCAAGAGAGTTCTTTTTCATCCATTTCATAGTACTTCATGGCACATGCACAACTGTCATTGTCTTTCTTTTTGACAAGCACGTGACAATATGTTCTCGTCATATTCATCATGCATAGGTAGTTAACTTGAAAAAATAAGTTGGCAAGTTTCTTTGTTCAGTGTTTAGGACTGATCAGTATACTTTTCAAGAGATACTTATTAATAATATTCGCTGTTGATTGGATTGTATGTTCTCCTGTGAAATGCCAGTTCTCACTCCCTTAGGTTAATGAACTAAATAATGAAATAAATACATTGCGTATAATTGAAAGGTGTTCACATCTGTGATGGAAGATGCATTTATTACGCTGGTAACCACATTTGAGCAGACCAAGTTACACAAGGACTAAACTCGGCACTAGCTGCCCGTCTCATTCTGACTATACTGTAAACATTAAACCAAGATTCATTTCAATGAAAATAAGAATTACACACAAATGGGAAAATTGTAGGACGCAATGTTTCTGTTTGAAGTAATTCTCTCATTGTGCTTGCTAGCGCTTGTCATGAAGTGACATTTGCCATATTACCGGAAAGAGTTGGATATTGAAGTGTAGCGAAATCAGTTTTTTAACACTGATGACGCGTTACAAAATCACCTCGTAGAGTACGCTCATACGCCCAAGAAAAGAACTATGAACTAGAGGTCTGAGTGATCGTGTGGGCTTCATTATGTGCTCGTTAGTTCTGGCACGAACATAGATGCTTGGCCATTTATCGCAGGTGGCGTCACATCTGCGGGACACCGTGGGCCTCCGGGTGTCTCCCGTGCGTCTTCCCTCTCTGCGTCTTGCCTTCGAAATGTGGGCCGCCATGATGGCTTCGGGCGACGCACCAAGCTTTCAAGAAGCACTACGAGAGTGTGGCAGCCCAATCTATCCCGGCTTCGAGCTACTGCGCTGGTTGGTCGGCCAGTCCGAGCACACAATCAACGCCATAACGCTCGCCCTCGCCGAAAACATCGGCCCGATCGCCAAGAAGGACTCGTCCAAGGCGCGCTCACTGTGTACTCGGGTCGAGCGACTGAGACTCAATCTGGAGTCTCTCCTAGGAAGCGACGGTGTGCTGTTGCTCCCAACGCACCCGGAACCAGCGCCCTACCATGGCGTGCCCACTCTTAGAGCTTTCAATTTCGCCTACTCGGGCGTGTTCAACGTCCTGGGTCTCCCTGCCACGGCTTGCCCTGTCGGCCTAGGCGCCAGATCGCGGCTGCCCGTCGGCGTGCAGCTGGTGGCTGCCAGGGACAACTGACAGAGTGACACTCGCGCTGGCACTCGAGATCGAAAATGCATTCGGAGGCTGGCGGGATCCCGCAACCACGGTGACTGACACACAAGCGAATGGTCACGTTCGTCAGGTGTAACAAACAATAAATATTCACACATTAGAATACACCTCGTCCTCGTCCTGATATAGTCACACAAGTTATCACAACTGAGCTCCTATTGCGCCATGAAGGTTCTCTTACAAATATAGAGAGCCTTCGATGCGTGCAGCACAGTTACACTTGCTGTACCAGGTGAACCACTTCATTCTTCGTACAGAGTGCACCATTGTCAATAGCGCTTCTGTCGTTCCAGAAATTTTTCTTGCTCAACATACCCCTTTCTTGAGTACTCAAATCATATTGTCTGTGTTTCAAATGATCTATTCTGCTATCCTCACTAAACTGTTTGTCCAGGTTTGACTTTCAAAAGAAATGTTAATACAGCTGTGCTCAGCCGTCATATTTGAGAGCACCGAATTTTATACAATGTTTTTATGCTAAGCGTGCAAAACTACTTATATAAAACAGAGAAAGTCTAGTCACCTATCGGGGAGCTTTTTTAGGTCAGTATGGGAGTTTTTTTTTTTACATCCATCGGGTAAATTTTTTGGTCAGTATGAAAGTAAAGTTTTAATTACAAAAGTCGCTTTATGCGCAAGCGTAACATACAATAAACTACCCTCGAAGCACACGATATTCATCACACACACATGAACATGAACACAGCGCTCGCGTAATGATACAACATTCACACTTACAGCAGCTTCCCGCTCGGAAGCACAGCCTCACTTCTTTTGCCGGGTATATATAGGCGCGGTGTTTCGACCACCCATGTAGCTCTAGAGGGACCCTTCTTTTACGAATAACTCAGCAATAAAGTTTTATGGCGTATATTTAAATTCGCGGTGGCCTGATAGAAAACCTTTCAACACACACGCCTTTTATTCTAAAGTCACCTGATATTGAGTACTTCTTTAACTAAGAGAAACTTAAATATTAGATTGGGCTCAGTCGCATAAACTGAATTGACAGTAGCAGTACTGTGTGCGAATCCGTAAAGTGAACTAAATCATACGCAAAGCCTGCGCGGCCGTCCATGAACACTTCAACGGCGTGCCTTCCCCAGCGCCGGCGGAAAACTATGACACCGCCGCTATACCACTTTCGATCGCTAGGACTCACTCACGAGTACAGCACCGCTTTACGATGAATGACAGCTGGCGATCTCTAAATGCTTGCGACTGTGCAGTTTTCGTCGTCATTACTTTTCACACGCACAGAAAGGGGTGTCCGCTATTCACCCAGTATAAGCTATGGAGCGATAGACATAAACGAACGAGACAGTTCGCAATAGTGGTTCCTTGTGCTCGCAGTGCGCTGGCATGCCGTACGCCGTTTCTCTGTGCCTCTGCCTCGTTCGGAGATAACCTTCACATAAGTCGTTTGACAGGGCGGCCGCATGGCGAAGATAAAATTTAAACTGCTATTCCTATCAGCAGCCTTTATTTTCAGTAAATCTCATTCTTTGCTTCGCCGATGCCTCATAGAGCTCGCCACGGCGGCCGGTGCGCCAGTGCGTGCTCACCACGACGCTTGCTTGATAACGACGGCGTAGCGTGGCCTTCTTGCTGAGAAGTAGCTGCCGCTTGAATAGCGGTAACACTCCGAGAAACCACCGTCGTCGCCAGCGGCCGCGGCAAGCGCGTCACCACCGCATCTTTCACACAGGCCGCCGGCCAGCTTGTAACCTCCCGAGGTCGAGTGAAGCTTACTTCGGATCGCTTCAAAGTTTTAGTCGGTGAAACTACAAACGCAGCTGCTGGCCATCACAACAGCTTACTTTTGTTACCATGGAAATCATTTCTTGCAAATATTCGTAGCTGTGCTCTTTGAAGCGAGTTATTGCGAGATTTTGTTTAGCGATCTGGCCGATCTCCAGTGCGGTTCAATGGTACGAAATACTCAAAACGCTCACACTAAACACCGACCAGCCATTCCAAACCTTCGTGGCACTGATATTTTGATTGTATGTCGACAGACTCTCGAACTATCACCGGCACAAGGCACTGCAGTTGTAGTACACCGGCGCAAGGCACTGCACCGGTGTACTAAACAGACGCCCGTACACACGCACGCGCGCACGTCACGATTAGAAAGGGGTTTTTAAAACTCCCATGGGGGAGTTTTAACCATGTGACCTGAAACTCCGTGGGGATTTTAACAAGGTTTAACAAATATGTCATCAAGCAAGGGGTGTTTTAAGACGACATGTGCCAAATTCACTCCGCTACCAGGGAGTAAACAATTTGGGCCGGGAGTTTTGTGGGCTCATATGCTGGAAAAAACTCCCATCTCAGCTAAGTTTCGCTTACAGTGTGCTGTGGAACGACAGGCTGTTCTTTCGCTGTTTTAAACGCTTTATGAATCGTAATAACGCGATTGCTTTCCCAACATCTAGCCTACATAATGCAAGTTTAACAAGAATTCGCAAGCACCGGCGTATCTCAGTGGTACGATACTGGGCTGTCACCCAGTGGACCCGGGTTCGAGCTCCGCTATGTCCTTGGCGCTAGTTTTCTTCTTTTTTTTGTAACTGCGTACAATGTGGTTATGAACACGAGCGGTGGCGGCGGTGGACAACTACGGTGGCGCGTGACCTGAGTCGTGCTCTTAAACAGGTTTTGCTGTAAAAAAACAATGTAGTGGGAAACTCTTTACAGCCATGAAGCTATCCTGTCACGGTACGTTTGCAAATGCATATCAAATGAGATTCACTCACAGCATGCTTCGTTCATCTGCAGAACTACTGTACGTAATCGACACATTTAACGCTGCTAATGGCATATGGTTTGAAAGGACAATTTTGTGCCAGCAAAGCTCAACTTCTTGACAACTGCTTTCTAGAAGCTCATTTCCTTTCGTGACGAGCTCCGCCGCGATGGTCTAGTGGCTAAGGTACGCAGCTGCTGACCCGCAGGTCGTGGAATCGAATCCCGACTGCGGCGGATGCATTTCCAATGGAGGCGGAAATGTTGTATGCCGATGTACTCAGATTTGGGAGCATGTTAAAGAACCCCAGGTGGTCGAAATTTCCGGAGCCTTTCGCTACGGCGTCTCTTATAATCACATGGTGGTTTTTGGACGTTATACCCCCACATATCAATCAATCAAATTTTTCTAAAGAGACCTTGCGTTTCACGCCAACTTGGGACCATATGGCATATATTACCACAGATTGAGAAAGTTCACTTATTAGTATTCAAGTTAAGATACCGTTCTAGCCGAGTAATAGAAAGAAACGGAGAGTACGACTGGAGGGGCTGTTTTTGGACTGAATGATAACGAATACAGGCGAAGTTGCTAATTACTCAAATGCGTTTCATTCAAATGGTGTTTTTATTTTGTTAGAGAACACTTCACACGATCGAAAAATACTTTATTTCTGTTATTTCAAAAAATCAGAAGAGAAATGAAGCGTAATATTGTACGTTATTGGCACAACGGACGTCACTTAGACGGTAGCGAACGGGCTCTGAAAACACAAAGTTTGAAAACTTGTGTATTTGTTGAGATCAAAACTATACAACATGTTTTTCTAGAATATGTTAGTCCAGCCCTAAGAAAATAATCGAAATAATTTTGAGCAAAATTGAAAGTGGGGTTTCTTTATTATAGGTTTTCATATTCACCAACAGTTTCTTCGACGTTCTGAGCGACAAATTTCGTTACTTCAAAACTTAGTACACAAATGCCAATGCACGAGATAACTACTGACATAAAGGGCTATCTCTGAACAAGCTATGGGGCTTACAAAAGCGGGAATCGCTCACCAAAATAAGTGACTTTCAAAAAGACACCGTATTTCATGAATCTCTGAAAATACCCTAGTTGCCCAGAATTAGGATACACAAATTGACCTATTTCTTCATTACTTGTGTCTCTCCTACGAGAGATATATTTGTAACATCCAACTTGCGTCGCTGTTAGCATGATAGCGACTTCGCGACCACGCACTCTGAGTAAAACGACTGTCGTCTTCCGGCGATGCTTCTCAATCTTTCCTTGGTTCAATTTTTTTATTGGAATACAAAATGTTGTTCAGTCATTTGGTCATACGGGCATAATAAGCAAAATTACGACAAAAATCGGAGAGATGAAATGTACCACATTTTCTGATCTTTCATGGAATGGACCTATCACAAGTACAGGAATCTATTCACCTTAAGTTTTCATTATTGGGATTCACTTCGAAGATAGAAACATAGATATTCGCAAAATCTGAGAAACTTTTCGTTTACTTGAAAGATTTGTTCTGGCATGCAAATGTGTTTTCACATCGAGTTCCAAACTATTCAACCATTAGACATCAATATTTTTTCTTTCGTAAATTTTCCTCGGCCGCACTCAACAGATCCAGTATTTCAATAACTTATTATCTCGCTTTCAAGCACAGAGAAACCAGTCGATCACCCAGAAGAGCTGTAAGGGACACTTTATGACCCAATCAATATTGTTACTTTTTCTTACGCGAACACAATAATCTTCGTCGCTGTCAGTTTTGTCTCTTTTTGTTGCAGTAATAAGAGACGTAGTTTCCGTTTCCGCCTGCCTGCATCTTGATCAGTTTCACCCAAGTGGGTAGGTGTCCGCAAATGCAAGACCATTATCATCACCATATTCGTCGTCATCATCACCAGGTGAAGCAGAAGAAGAACAGTGCAGGCGCGTCCAGTACCCACGGAGGATGGCGATGACCAAAGAAGGAATCATTAGTCTTCTAGCACTGTGTTCTGTAAGTCGGTGTCCATTCATACTTCATGAGGTTTTGCTGACTCCTATGAAGAGAGTATTGTGTTAAGTTTGGGCGGCAGTTCTGCGCTTACGCCGTTGACAATATTGAAAAGGGCAGAAAACGTCCACTGGTTCGGAGTTTGAATTCCTTGTCGCCGATCTCTTCATAAAACTCTTGCTGCTATACATACTTGTCATTTTTGTCGTACCTAGTTCAAGTTCACATCATGAGATGGGGCAACCCAGTTCCACTATATCGCAATATTGAAGCAACCTTTAGTGAAATAGAATAGACTAGAATAGAATAGAATAGAATAGAATGGAATAGAATA